TTGCGTCGGCGCCGAAAATAAGAGTCAAAATCGTAATCAGGACCACGGATTACCGCTATAGACGAACTTTGAGACGACAACTCGAGATAAACAAAAAACTTTGTCTTGTTTATCTCGAGTTGTGGTCGGCCGGCAGTCGTGACCGTAGTCGCACATCCTCGTAAAGATGATGACGTAGTGGGCCGGCGGAGCCGCATCGCAAAATTGGTCGTGCCAAGGTCCCTTAGCGCTTAGCAGTAGCCTTGGTAGCCGAAGAATACTTCAAAACCATCCTGGACCTTTCTCGACACCAAGCGTCAACGAAGTATGTCTTTTTCCCCACGGAGAAAAGAGAAACTACACTTTCGATTGCAAGTTCATGTTCTTCAAGTTTTTTCAAAGTGCACCGGAAGGAATATTCACCTTTCCTTCCTTCCCCTCGGTTTTGTTAATGGTCTATTACTAAATGGGTGACTCTGGATAATGAGGCAATGTTTGACTACAACAGAAAGACTCTTGGGCATAAGCCTACAAACGACCCAAAAAGGTCAAAAAAATTTTTTTTGGCCGAGCGTTTGTCCAGAGGGGTAACCGATGACCCTGATCACGATTTTGACTCCTGTTTTCGGCACTGACACAATTCGAACAGCATAATAAGGATATGGATAATAAGGAACCCTGAAATAATTTGATAACCTGATCATAGGGTATCACCATTTGGAATGTGCCCATCCGGGGAAGGATTCCCGACGCTATCCACTGGGCCATCTGATTACCGACCATTCATGCAGCCCCAAAAGTCCGTGCTCAGAAATCATTCACTTCCAGGGCACATCGTTGTTTGGGAATCCCCAATAGGGGGGTCGTATTTGGTCGCCAGGAGGGGGGGGGTTGGGCTGAGAAAAATTTATTTTGATAGTTGATTTTTCTCGCTTCATGGACGTTGTAAGGGAGGAGGGAGGGGGTCGTATTCACGTAGGAAGAACCAGAGACGCTGAGGGTACGTACCAACCTCTCCAGAACAGGGGAGTGGTCGTATAGAGTCGACTAAATATTCCACCATGATGTGCCCTGTTTCATCTTCCAAGCCACGTGATTCAAGTAAATACCGCATTTTGCAGCTATTCAGCGAATTTCAATAGTGCCCCTTTAAGAACCTCGTTCAAGCAACCGGACGAAAAGTTGGCGAAGTGATATCACAGCCTCCATAGAGGCCCAAATAAAGATGCGGTATAAGCGCACAGATTTCTATTCCCTCTTTTTCTTAGGTCATTCCTGGAAAACAGCATTCAGCGGAAAATTGAAGCCCATTTCTCGTGATTTCCATGTGTTCTTAGGCCCTACAAAATCATAAACGGTTTCTGAAAAACGGCGGGGGGCACCTGGACCTTCCTCGTTCAAAACAGTAGCGACCCACAGTTGAAGACACCCAACATACAACGTACCCTGACCATCAACCTCATCGCGCGTGGCACAGAAGAAGTGTATAGCTACTGCAAGAGTCGCGCGAGGAGGCATACGCAATGCAGGACTTCATTGAGGGTGATTTTAGTCGAGACCATATGACCGCCCCTCCCTCCAGCCTTTGTCCCTCTCATCGAATCGAGGCCAGCGAGCGGGGGAGAGCGGGGTATATAATTTTTGTATATTTTAATAAATCTTATTATAATTTTCTCAGTCAAAGATACAACCCCCCACCCCCCTCTTGGACTCCCGCCAACAACCGATGTGCCCTAAACACCGCGTCGCGGCGCATTAAGCGAGAGATACTGATAGGCTTCAACAGCCTAATTGCAGCAAGCGCGTAGCACTTGACTCTTTTTCTTCTCTTTGAAAGCTGGCGAGGATTAGCGTGGGCCATGGTGTGTCCACCCCGACCCTCACGTCGAAGTAATACCCTTTCTGAGGCGTTTCCTGGCGGTAAATGTGATATGGGAAGAAGGGAAGGGGGAGCTCGTTGAGCGATAGCAGTGAACGCCTAAACGTCGCGGTTTGGTCGCTTTGATCAGCGCCAACCGATAGCTGTGATCACCCGATTTAGAACGTCGCGGTTTGGTCGCTTTGATCAGCGCCAACCGATCGCTGTGATCACCCGATTAGAGCGACCAGTCGCAAGGGATGAACGTAATATCAACCTTGGAGAGGGGAGGGACATAGGGACAACGAACAGATGCATATGCCCCCCCCCTTGCCCCCTCAACGCTCAAAGTAGTTAATTTCTATGCCGCGCGAGGAGTGTGTAAAGGTGATCTGAAAACTATCTAAGCGCGATTCTGACCCGCGCTAATCGCTCCCGGGGTGGAGGCAATTTCCGGTAGAGGAAAGGGATTCGAACACGTGTTAATGACCAAATTTTGCCGATTCTAGAGATGGATGAAGCTTGCTTCGCCTAAGCCGCTTTGCTCCTGTTAAGTTCGGTCCATCTTTTCATAGAACATCACATCATTGCAAAGGTGAGCGATCGAAACCTGTGGATGAAAACTTTTGCGGTTTATTCCCCTGAAAATCAATGAAGGGAATATCTCCGTCACTCCGCCCGTCCCTGATGAATTAATCGATCCATCCCAGCGCCACCGAGCTCACAGCGCTGAATCAGCCATTGAAAACTAATGAGCGAGTTCCCACGGATTACTTCCTGTCGATGTTACAATGTGTTCAGACTGTGTAAGTCAAGAAGTTGTTCGAGTAGCGCTCATGTAGCTTCCAACTTGATTGCGACTCTGAAGCCTCGGCTGTCCTGTCAGTTCTGTCACAAATTCAATGGCACAGCTGTCATACTTTCCTTTCTAGAAATTATTTCAGTCCAAAATACGTACACCTCATTCTTGGAAGTGAAGTGAGCGTGGCCTCGCACTTCACTTGAACAAGGCGGTAGCTGCACTTGTGTGAGATTTTTTTGGAACACTTTTACTTGTGTTCTGCACAAAATAGGGAGACAAATTTTTCAAATGGAAATACTTCGCGAAAAAGGCATCCTGCGCCATGTCCAAGTGGAGTGCGCAGCCACGCCGCTGCAAATTTCCCCAAGTTTCGGGGATATGGGGTGCATCTCTATCACTAGTATCATCTCTCTTCGATTTTTGTTTTCCGCAACTTCCCGAGATTTCTGCTCATTTTCCAACGCTTACCGAGTCTTGTAAAAAAGGATAGAGCTTTGTTCATACTTTCGAAGGGAATCTTTTTTGGTGGGAACCACTTTGACATTCGGCACTGAGTATCAAAAAATGGGCGCAATTCAGCGACGGGGGGGGGGGCATTTTACACTCTCACTTCTTCACTAATTCCGGTTTACAAGGCCCATCTGGTGAAACCTGTGAATTTTGTGAAGCTGGAGCAAGCTCGTCGAGCCACCACTTGTTAAACCTGTCAACTCACGAAAAGGCTCTCTAGATGGGTCGCTACGACGACGGGAAGTAGCGAAAGTGCAAAATGCGCCTCCCCCCTATTCATAGCCGAGCTACCGCCAAAAAAACGTTCTGTAAGGTTGATTTCCTCTCGATACTCTTACCTCTGTTCACCTAGCAACCGTCACGAGCTGCGTTCCATATGCCCAGCTGTTCACGTGATTCCATACCACACGAATTCGTACTATTAACTTCTACTAGAGTTCATCAGACGTGGAAATATGTTTGAACAGCTCTTTTAAATAGGCTCTCTACCGATAAGCCAACTGTCAACTGTATGGATTGCTCT